TGTTATGTTATGTTATGTTATGTTATGTTATGTTATGTTATGTTGTGTTGTGTTGTGTTGTGTTGTGTTGTGTTATTTATGTTATGTTATGTTGGATACATAGTGTACTGGTAAAAGATCCCCAGTTTGATCCTGGGAGGAGATAAAAAATCCCTTTTGGGGTTGTGTCAGTCAAAAAATTTAATTAGGAAGCAGCTGAAAGAAGCTTGAACTAAGCTAAACTGACAAATTGTCTTCTTACCTGTTGTAGCAATGCAGTCAAATCCAACAAAAGCATAGAAGCATGTTGCAGCTCCAGCCACAGTTCCACCAAAGCCATAGGGGAAAAATCCGCCCACTCCAAACTCGCTTGTTGCATTAGCAATGTCAGTTCCGTTTCTGCAGCGGGTAGAGAGCAATACTTTGTGGTTATTTCCAGTTAGCTCATCCAGGAGAACAATAATGCTGTAATTATATAGGTCGTGATTTACTTGAGTGTTTTTTTGTTTGTTTGTTTGTTTTTGCATTTATTTACATGGCAGTGGCGTTTAACACATCTTCTTTGCTGATTTTCCAGTTGGAGATGTCTCCCTTGATGAATCCAGAAATGATCACAAACAGCAGCACCAGGATGTTGATCGCTGTGAAGATCTTGTTGATCATCGTTGACTCTTTGACTCCAAAAGACAGGAGACCTTCGTGGAAAAGGTGGTTAATTCAGCGATCTCATCCTCATTTGTGGTCACCATTTAACACCAGTTTTACTATTTTACCTGACAAGAGCACGATCAGAGCTGCAGCAAAGACATCTGGGTAAGGAGCTAAGCCAGGCAGGCCCATGGCAGCATTTTCTGCAAAGTATTTTGATATGACTCCCCCAATGAGTTCATCAAATGTTCCGCTCCATGCCAGTGCAACAGTCGATGTCCCTGAGCAGATAGTGAATAGATAGTTAATGTAATAAACTAATTAATCAGCCATAATTTACCCGCAGCCATAAACAAAAAAAAAAGAAACTTCCTACCCTCTTTATAACTCAGGGTTTTGAATCACAGTCCTGGTTTATGGGGTTATTATTGGGATTGTTGCAAAGCAGTGATCCTGGTATGTGCTATTGTTAAAATTAATGTAGCAAGAGATGTGACACAGTGAGGTAGAAAAAAAGCAGTCAAGAATTCGCTGTTCCACTGGTTGAAAGGTCACAGTGTTAAATAGTCTCTTAATGGTGGTTGATCATTTATGATCAGAGTGTGGTAAAAAGATTATGTTAGGTTTATGCACTGTTTGCATATACAGGTAGGAGGAGAGATCACTAAATCATCAATAAAGGAAGAAAATATCATTGAATAATAGATGTTACAATTTGCATATATTCACCTATGACGTAGGAGAGCAGCAGATTCCAGCCAGAGATAAAAGCAAGGAGCTCTCCCACCGTCACATAGCTGTAAAGGTATGCTGAGCCTGTTTTAGGAACCCGGGCACCAAACTCTGCGTAGCATAGCCCAGCAAATATAGAGGCCAGGGCAGCGATGAAGAAGGAGATGATGATGCTGGGTCCCGCGGTGTCTCTGGCCACCTCTCCAGAGAGGACATAGACACCAGCCCCCAGGGTGCTGCCCACACCGAGGGCCACCAAGTCCAGAGTGGTCAGGCATCGATTGAAGGTGGACTCTTCCCCGTCGGGCTCGAGGGGCTTCCTCCGTGATAGGCTCACCAGAAAGGACTTCACTACGCTGCACGACATACTTCTGTGGGTTTGGATCAGGATGGAAGATGAGTGAACGAGAGAGATTTAAGGAGTGACCTAGTGGGACAAAAGGTGAGGAGTGTTTCTCAGTGAGTGAATAATTGTCAGGTCAGCCTCCGGAAGAAGATTCTTTCTTCTGAGAAACATGATTTTCAAAGTCTATTAGTGTTTTTATTTGTGTAGAAAGAGAACAGAATGCTACTGTAATTAAACTGAGGAACTGAAGAGCACATGCAAGCTGTTAAGACTTAAGAAAATCTGTTTTATTAAAGCTTAATCATTATCACATGACAGCTAACATGCTCTCCTAACACTTGACAGAAGTGAGACTAAGAACACATTCACTTACCTCTTTGGTGTGATCTTGTACCTCGTAGATGTGCTAAGAAGTAGGAATAGGATGTGTCATTCGGCTCAGTTACAGTACCCTTTTATAAATGTATCTCGTTATCATTCTCCTGATATGATAGTGCTGATACCTGAGATTTCCAGAATGCCACCCCCAGCACAGAAATCCACGCCCCGGCTTCAGGATTGCACAATTACTTCTTTGAATATTTCTGAAGAGTCCAAAAGCTTTATGTGTTAGATGTGTTCTCACAGCAGCAGTGCCTTTCAGGGCTGCCTTTAATCAACTACTGTTCAAATCAGATTAAATCAAATCAAAGTTAAGGCACAGTGAGAAAACAAAGATGACATAGCTTTTTCCTATATTTAATATAAGATCAAAAATTACATGCACCTATTCTTATTTTTGAGGGTTTCCTACAGATTTCTATATTTAATTTCTATAACAATAACTGTGTCTTCTCAGAGGGCCCTTACATTGTTGTGTCGCTTAACAACAAGCCTGCGGTCTTATTACTACAGCTATGTTGTGGAGTTTGTCCGCTTGCACTGAAGCAGCTGTATCTCCATCTCAACATGAAGGTGTGAGCCTGCCGCTCTAATGGCCCGGTGAGTTCATGACATGGGGGAGGACAAAGCAGCTTTTATGACTTATTCGGGCAGGAGGCTGCACACTTTGAGAGGCAGCATTTACCTTCTCATCTCCAATCAGGGGATTTGAGCTCTCCTAATCCCTTGTGGCATCTACCTCAGGAGGCAGGAGCTGAGTGGGGAGGAAGCCTGTGCGGTCAAAGTACTTTTGACTAAACTTAAGCATTCATATCTGCGGATCTCATTTGCTGAGATAGCATATCGAGGGTAATGCTTAACTAAAAAATCATGGTTTGTTTAGCCAGATATCCCATTAATCATTGCAGTTAAGCAGTTAATGTTTATAATGTTGTTTTTCGGCTGCCTACTGTGCATTTAAAGAAGCACAGTCATTAAAATGCACAGATTCTTATTAAAGAAAAGGTCAGGGATTTGAAACTGACGTCATATTTTTATTCAGCAGACACACAAGTTCATTACCTTGCATTCAGTCCCACGAGGAGTTACTGGTGACTTCAAAAGTAGAGTGGAACGAAAATATCCGTGATGCTGACTTGGATGAAAGAAGCATGACTTTTACAGCAATATATACAAGACCGGCCTGCATGACCCTCCCACTCAGTGGAATTATTTACAAAGTAGCCTTTCTTACTCCCGACCAGTGTGGATCATAATGTGTTCATTATTGCAATGAAGGCACAGGGTGAGAACTGTGAATAGAAAATCCTGTTCAGAATGTGAAAAATGCTTTTGTACCCATTCGTTTGTTGTTGCGCTTCAGATTTACAATTTGCTGTATAAAGTGCACGTATTTGATCAGAAATAACTATTACTGATGTTTGGAAATGTGTCGAAAAAAATATAATTATGTTTTACCAGATGCCTCTATAACTTTGCTTATTTTCTGCCATCTAATAGTGGTATAGATGTGGCTACTCCTAATAATCATGGCTTTGAATAATCTGTGTATGTGGATGTAATTACTGTGACTGCTCCTAATGCTTTATTTCCATCTATTTTTCTGCTTCGGGATTTGTATGACATCAGTGAGAGTGAATAACTTAATATGGCACACAACTCTTGCTGTGAGCACAGAAACTCCACCCACACACTGTTCGAGCCATTTGTTTGCAAAGGACAGCCAATCAGACTAGAGCAGCTTTAAAAACTTACAGGCCTTAAGCAGTAAGGAGCTTGATTCAGACAGAGGATGAACTGACCTCTTAGGGACTCCTTTAAAGCTTAAACTGATTACAAGAATAAAGATACAGTGCTAAAAGGGAGTATAATAGCTTTGATGCTTTGTTAATTTTTTTTAAACAAAGATTTAATGTTTCATGCAAAAAAAGAGAGAGAAAGACAGAAGTTTGTTTGTTTTTTGTTTTATTTTGTTTTTTTTTGGCTGTAAAAAGAGTGGAAACATCTGGAGAAAAGAAAACAGCTGATACTAGTCAAAGACAACAAGACAGGGAGGTAAACTAAAAAAGAGCTGAGGCTCAAAATACAAGAGAATATTAAAAACAAATATACCAATAAGCAACCTAAGAACCAAGAGAAGCCCCAAAAGACCTCAAAATTCAGAGCTAAAGATCCAGAATCCACAATCATAGACTCATCATAGATGAAATGTTTATTAATGATTACATATCTAATGAATACAGTTTACATAGTTTGAAAATGAATTTGTTTTCATTTCAACAATAAATAAAATGAATATGCATTAATATATATTTCCCATCTCAGCCAGAATGAAATTGTTATGTTGGGTATGCAGTATATCTTCAAACCACAAGAGGTCGCTGTGCAACAAAAGAAATTCCTCTCTGCCGCTTCACTGTTTCCACCATATGGACACCCCATTCTTTCAACACTGGTTGGGGGCGAAGATGAAAAGGGTACACTAAAGGAGAGGAAACCAAAAGAAAAAAGAAAAACATATCAGTGGACTCATTTCATTCATAGATCAAAGCTAAAGCCTCTGACGCTATAGGTTTTTGCCCAATACATCCACTTTAAAGTTCATAGTACCAGAGGCACAGACCAAAACATATTCTTCAAGTAACAAGGAGTAAAACATTCAAATGTAAAACATACAGGGCCTCCAAAACAGGACATTTTTCCTGTTAAACAGGTTGATCAACATTTACACAATGATCTAATTGGTCTAATCTAAAATGTTGCTGAAACATCACTACAGATGTTCATAACCACCTCCCCATCATCAATCTGTCTTTCCCTCCCATAGACATGGCGTGCTTATCTCTGCTCCCTCCCCAACCTTTGAAGAGAGCAAACAGGGTTTAATGTTAATCTTATCTCCCTGTCTTCTGTGCCTCACTGAGCATATGATGTGTGAATTGCATCTGAACACAGTAAATAAGATCATTTATCAAGCACATAGACCAGGTGTAAACTTTTATCACATTTTTATTCACCTAATGAAATACTGAGTCATGCCCCCTTTTTTTCTTTGCTGTTGCGAAGTGGAGCACTGGACTCCCTGTCAGCTTCCTGTAAGTCACCTCTAGTTTCTCATCATCTCTTCCGTCACCTTTCTCTCCACATGCGGTGTCACAAGTATCACCATGAATGAATGAAGTAAAAAGCCCAACATAAAAGATCACAGGAAATACACATGCAACACGCAAATTTGTGGGCAAAACATGCATGCATTGCATTCCAGGAATAGAGCAATGAATGTGGCACTCGTTTTACTGTCATACCGCAGCTATGCTCCCCCTCCCCTCCCACTAAACACACACACGCACTCACACGCCCCTCCACACTTACTGGAGGTCTTCTGACAGGACAGAAATAGAACAAATTGTCACGTCAGTGTCAGTAAGCTGCCCTCTGTTAAAACTCAGACTCGTGCGCATGTGCCAAAATTCAGAAAGTTATGCTTGCCTGTTACCAGCTCCAAGTGGTGGCTCAATATATAAAAGAAAGAAAGGTGTCAATTAATCGTTCATATATATATATATATATATATATATATATATATATATATAAATATATAATATATATATATATATATATTATATATATATATTTTTTTTTTTTTTTTTTTTTAATTTATTTGTTTATTTTTTTCAACATTAGGGTGTGGGGGAAATAATAGAAATAAGCAGCTATTACCCAGTCACATTTACACCCGTGTTTGAAGCATTTTCTTGCTTTAAGCACGTATATATCAAAGCACCGCTCTCTCTTTCTCGCTCTCTCAAGCCCGCACTTTCTGTCTCTCTTTCACGCGCAGACATGCGCGCACGCTTTACAGAAGCCGCGCGAGAGAGCGCCGCAGTCACCACGTCACTGAGGACGAGTAACTGGCCGGCCTGAATTCATCCGACCGGGGGGAAAAGACAGACCGAGTTTAGGGGCCGCTGTCACTCTGCACCGATACTTCCTGCACCGAGAAGGTAAGCTGCTCTCTGTCGTTCGCTGTCGGCTCCATATAATGGGTCACAAATTAACAGAAAAGTTTGCTGAGGTGTCATTTTTAAATGTGCCCCTGGCACCCGTGGCTGCAGAAGGAACGGCTGTAATAAAATTCAACTCGAGGAAAGTTTAAAATGAAACTTAATTCAGAAAAACAATATACCATTAGATTTAAAGCCTCTGATTTAAAGAATATCCTTCGGTGTGTGTGGGGGGGGGATTAACAGAGAAGGGTGTGGCCCTGTGTACATATAAAGGGAGAGAGAGGCCGAGAGGCCCTGTCCCCCAGACCTGTCTTCTGATATTAAGATAAACTGCGCGCGTGCTATTTTTGGGAAAGCCTCACTGGAGTCTTAAACAAACAGTACAGTATTTCAAACCATGTGGAGTACTCTTTCCCCCCTCAATTTAGCATAAATTCTTTATTCCTTAAAAAATATTTGTAAGTTCAGTGTAGCCTACTTCGGTGTTGTGATTCTAAATTAAGTATCGTCAGTCTAGAAGAAGCAGCTTCTCAGTACTGACGCCTCAACATGTTTACCTTGTCTGAATGTCTGCATTATAGTCAGAATATAGCTGCATGGGAAATGTGGCTCCAGCTTTCCTGCAAGTTTAAATAAAACATATTCCATCCATCAATGTATTTTTGTGTGAATATGAGGTTGAGTCTAATAGAAAGCAGGCCCCCGTCTGCTTTTTGCTCATGCGCTCTAGCTAAGAACAGCCTGGATAATGAATAACAGTACCTCTTTGTATTTACTCAGGAAATAAAGATCATCATTGTTTGCAACATAGTTTCATCCAAAGCTGAGGTGAAGGTCACCTTTCACATTGCAAGGATGTTTTCCAGTGCAACTGGCTACCTGTACCTCAGCATTTCTGTTTTCCCTTTAGGCCTGAAACTATTGATTCCTGAGCAGTGTTGACATATAAGACCAAATATAGACATGGTAAGTGGACAAGAGCTTGGTCATCTGGCCTTGTATCATGTTAGCTATAATCAAACTGCAGACCAGATCTTGTATCAGTGCAGCAGAATGAATTGTTTTGTGTGACACTGGCGTGGATAGAGTGAGGCTGCCATCTGCCACCATGTGAGCCCTGCGCAACATCAAAAACAGGAGTGTAGAGTGTCAGTGCTACCTGCAGCACCTCGTTATACCTGACGGCATTTTTCCAGAATGACTTTGTAAAATTATTTAAGGTTAAACACAAACTAACTCATACCTCTTTTAAAGTTTGGGCACCAGATGAAACAAATTGCACTTAAAGGGGGAGGGATGCATAGAAATCAACTTATTGTTATTAAATTCACTTTCCCGAACCGTGATTAGTTTAGTTAAAGTCTGTTGCTAGGGGCTTGTGTTTGTGGCCTGTTGCCACGTGGGTGAAGCTTTACAGCTGTCCTGAGGAGTGATGTTAAGCAGAGCATATACAGTGGCTTCTGTAGCTGGGCGGAGAGCACAACTTGGCTGACAGCCTCAATGCAGCAGTGACCTCGAGAGCAGCTGCTGCAGTTTCATTTTTCAGCCGTTTTTGTGAAGATCTTACTATTACAAGATCATAATGTTGATATTTTTCATCCTTTTTGAGCTATTGCATATTAGACGGTCTGATGTGTAAAAGTTCTGTGTACAACCCGACCCTGTCTACTTTCCCGCCCCTGCACAAACAGGCAAGCAACATACACACACTCTGATCTGTTGGGGGTGAGACAGGTGCAAATACTCAGCTGCTGTCACTGCTGCTACACCACTCCACTACTCTCAGCATGCAAGGAGGTGTGGGTTGAGATAATGCATTGTTAGAGAATGGGACATAAAGTGCAAATTTATTAAAAAAGCAAAGTGTATGGTTAAAAAAAGGGTTTACAACTGGTCTGCTCTGGAGGTGAGCAGCATATGCAAAGTCATAGCAAAGCCAAGCCCACTGCTGTTTCGAGCCATCTGCAAAATGCAAGCTGTGGCTCAAAATGTGAGATCCTCTTCTCTCATACTAGCCTTTCTTTTTTAGTCTCCTTTTTTCTACAGAAAAGCTACACTGATATGTTGACATGTAACATGAAGAATGCTCACATGTTTGGTTGTGTTAGCATAATTAG